GGGCCAGTAGAGGCGGTACATGGAGCGGATCCCACGGGGACGACGTGGAGGAAGTGGGGGTAGGTAGCGATTCATCCCTTCTACCGTCACCGGAAGCTCCTCATATCGGATGATCCGGTGGAAACGAGGAAAGTGTTGGCCGCTATGAGGGAGGGAAGCGAGGTAGTCGGGATAGAAGGAGGAGAGGGTGCGGAGGAGCGCCGCTCGAAAGAATTCGTAGTGGCGACAGGCGAGGATTGTCCCCGTGGCTACGCAGTAGACTTCTACCACGTTGCATTGCTCCCATGCAGCGCTGAACAACAGGATATGCCAGCAGAAGGTGGGGGCAGCGGGTTGAAGGGATGGGTGGGGGTAGACGGTTGCGAGTAGGCGGGAAGAGTAAAAGTGGCGGAAGAGATGGGGAAGGAAGGGATGGAGGGGGAAGGTGACGGGGGTGCGGATCTGTTCGAGGGTGAGAAAATCAAGGGGACAGCGGGATAACGTCCGAGGACAAAGGCCTATCGCCCGCATCGGTATGTGGGCGAACTGGGGGACGGGTGGGGCTGGAGGAGGAGGGGGATCTGCTCCGTCTCCGTCGTGAGGTTCTTGGGGAGGCAGCTGCGGGGTCGCCATCTTCGGGCTTCGGCGGCTCCGGATTCCTGGTCGGATCGTCACCGTTGCGCAGGCTTGCTCCGCTGGCTAACTCCAGCTGGCCCTTCCCGGTGGCAATTTCTTCCCGCTTGCGTGCGGCCTCAGGATCTTCCGCTTCCGTGCCCGTGCGCGCGGCTTCCTCCGGCAGGGCTTCCCACTCAGATTCGGTTTCTTCTTCACTCAGCTCGCCCTCGCTATACTCGCTATAGCTTCCCTCCTCTCACGTTTCCTCGTCGTCGTCTTCTTCGTTGTTGTCAATCACCACTTCCTCCACCTTCGGATAAAAGGTGTGAGGGATGATGTCGTAAGGCTTCAGATACTCCTGCCGTGATGGTAGCGTATCTTCGTCCTTGGGTTCCTCCAAGCACGCAGTCCACTAAAGGTACGGATCCAACGACTGCTCGAGAACGTACGGAGCGGGGCTGTCGTCACTTTGCGAAAAGATGTCGGGCGAGAGATCGTCCGCCAATTGCACGATCGGCGCGATGAGCTCCTGCGCAATCAACTGGCAGCGGCCCGGCCGTACCGATCCAAAGAGAAAGCCGAGAAGATCGCCCTCGACGTTAGTCCTCCAAGCTTGTATGATCAGCAGTTCCAAATTTTCGATCCACGCAGGATGCTCGCTGGTCTGCATCCACGTCACCTGTACTCAGGCCAAGCAGAAGGACAAATCGTTAAAAGTATCGCGCCACAGTCGCCAATGCCCAGGATTAATAAGCGGGACAAAAAGGGGCTCAAACGAGAAGGAAAGAGAAGGATGAAGATCGTACTACCAGAAGGTGGGGAAAAGAGAGGGGAGACCGAAGATGGAGAGAGGAGCGAGGGGATCGGCGTGGTTCATTGGGGACGTGGGAAAGGGACAAGGGTGGGGATCGCAATCGGCGGCTCGCGCGGAGAACGGCCGATCTCGCCAAGATCCGGTGCAAAGGCCGGGATGAGGTTATGCCATGGTCGGGCAAGACCGTGCTGCCACACATTCGACACCTGCTCCGTCCACTCTCGCAGCGAGGTCAAGATCGCGGTATGCCACCGTGGATTAAGCGAATTGATGTCGCCGCTGAAAGCCGCAACCATGGTGACGTGGCTCATTCCGGGAGCCGCTCGCCGATGAACTGCTATTACCTCCGCCAATACCACTTCCTGTGAGCTCCCTTCGAATCGAAACGCGGCGGCGGCACACACACCCACGTCGCAGAAGAACTGCGCCAAATGCCGAAGATCCGTACTAAGCCGTGGATAACGAACTTGCCGAATTTTCGAGATGTGGCCACGTGGCTCCAACAGTTGTTCGTAAAGAGCCCGCTCCATGATGAAACTCATGGCGAGGTCGGAGAGGAAGACGAAGGGCAAGAGGCAGAGAGCGGAGAGAGAGTTAGATCGTCATCGTTCTCCTTGCTTTTCGGAGGAGGGAGAGGGAGGAAGATGAGAGGGAGGAAGATGAGAGGGAGGAAGATGAGAGGGAAGAAGAGGACGAAGGTAGGGGGTATGCCGGACGATGGGGACAAAGCTATGGCTGGCACTAGCCTCAGGCGCGATGCGCACCGTGTTGGCGTCGTTAGGACCGAGCTCGACAACGCGAAAGCAGCCAGAGAACTTGGGAGCGAGTTTGCGGTCGCGTGCACATTTACGTACCTGCACTAGGTCCCCTAATTTATATTGATGCTGGGGCCCATCATTTCCATTCCGAGCCTCGTAGCTACGGACCTGCCTACCGTGGGCCAGATCGGTCATCCTTTGTCTTTTTCGGGCTAGCTTCGGGACGGACCGCTCCATTAATTCAGTGTACCTTTTGGCCTTGGCCTTGAGGGCTGTACGCGTGTCTCTACCCCCTGCTTCGGCAATTTCCGAGTTACCCCGGTAGTCGACACTGGGGAGGCTATTAGTACGAATCTCAAAAGGGGTTAACCCCATGGATTCGTGAGGGGTGGCCCGGTGGATCCTGACGATCTGATATACGATCTCGGGCCACAGACGCGTGTCGTGTTCTGCTAAATTCCTGCGAAGGGCGGTTTTAATCATACGGTTGGCGTTCTCAGCCAACCCGTTCGACTCGGACACGTGGGGTGCCGTATGTCGGAGCGTGACGCCCCTTCGTGCGAGCAGTTCCTCTACTTCACCCTTAAATTCAGACCCATTGTCGGTTAGAATTTCTTTCGTATCTAGATGGGTATAGAGGAACCGTTCGATATACGTGGCTATTTCTGCGGCTTTTCGGGTCTTACAGGGATAGACCTCGATGTACTTGGAAAAATAGTCTATTAACACTAACTGGATAGAATATTCACAGCGGTTTGGGCCAGGTGGCATGTCGATATCTGTTGTGTCCGTACTGACTCGCTGGAAGGGGCGTTCTACTTCCATTGGTACTATCGTGTTTGGTCCCCGTATTGGGGCGCGATCATCGGCACAGACCAGACAGTTGGCGACAATGTACCTGACATCATCTCGTATGTTCGACCAGAACCATCGGTTCTGGTCTATAGTTGCCTATGTGACACGTATCGCGAAATGAGTGGCCTGTTCTTCGTGAGCCGATCGGATCCAATCATATCTCTGGAATGGATGGGGAACCGTCAACCACGAACCCGATCTGTCAGTTTTACGCTTCTCCAAATGACCGTTGATCCACCGATAGTCCCGAGATCTCTCGGTTGCCCTACGTCTGTCGTGTTTGGTGAGGTGTCCCAATGATAACCCCGCTAATTTCGCCAATAAAATTTTGTCCATCCAAACCTCCGCTCGTCGGTATTTTTCGTCGTATTCAGGGTCGTTCGTGCGGGCGGCCTCGAATCGAACCTCCCTGGGAAGTTTGTTCGTTCTACACAGGGGGCACCTCCATTCCTTGCTACTCGTCCGATATCGAACGCAGGCCCCATGCGCACGATTGACACACGTGGCACACTCTACCCAATTGACAAACCCGGTTTCGAAAGGATGACAGTCGACCCCATAAACCCGTGCAATACACGTACAAAAATAGCAGAATTTATCGGGGAGGGTGGCAAAGAAAGCTGAGGAAGTGAGAGGGGYAGAATTAGTAGGAGAGGAAGGGGTTGCAGAGACAGGTGGGGTAGTCATGATGACAGAGGAGGAGAGATGGGACCGAATTGCGGAGAGGGTAGAATCAGACAAATTGATCCTCGTGTCAACAAGATCTCCACTTGGCCGTACCGAGGTCCAACCTCCTGTTCGGGTTCGTTCCACGGAATCACCTCCTCACTCTTTGGAACTTTCTCAGGCCGGTGCAGTCATGTCAGTCCGTCCGCATTCCCGTGTCTCTCGTGCTTTCGATGACGAATGTCAAAGTCCATGCTCTGTAGCACCGTTGCCCATCGCCCGATCATGCCAGAGTAATCCTTCGATTTCTTCAGAGCCAACAGGTGCTCATGATCGGTTACCAAGGTGAACTTCCGCCCGTACAGGTAACCGCGAAAGTGACTGATTCCCCAAAGAGCCGCGTAGCATTCTCCCGTCGGAGCGGCGTAGTTACGCTTGCAGGTGGACACCGATTTGGACGCATACTCCACCATGTTCTCCAGTCCACTTGGTCCCACCTGGGCAAGGATCATCGAGATGGCCTCTGGCTGCCAGTCAGTGATGAGAACAAAAGGTTTTTCGGGATCCGGTCTTATAAGGACCGGAGCCGAAATGAGAGCGGCCTTGAATTTCGAAAACGTTGATTACACTCCGGCGTCCAGATCAACGGCTGATCTTTGCGCAGGAGATTCGTGAGGGGTCCCGCGATTGCCGCGAAGCCCTTGGTAAATCTTCGGTAGTACGAGGCCAGGCCCAAAAAGGCGCGAACTTGCGTGATAGTCGTAGGCACCGGTGCATCTCTGACAACTGCCACCTTCTGCGGCTCCGGTTGGAGCCCCTTGTCTGTTACCACGTGTCCTAAGAAGGAAATGGTGGTAAGAAAAAACTGACACTTCTGAAGCGCCACCTTGAAACCCGCATCTCGTGACGCATGCAGAGCCCACTCGATGTGCTGCATGTGTTCCTCGTAGGAACTCGAGTACACCAGAATGTCATCCATGTATACAATCACGCAGTAGTTAATGAGGTTGTGCGCCAAACGAGTCTTCCACACGAAATTATGAAAAGCCATATTCATGGCTCGCTGAAAGGTCGCGGGGGCGTTGCAGATACCCATCGGACATCGAATCCACTGCCACGTACCTTCGAAAAACACAAACGCCATTTTCGGACGATCTTCTTCTCGGACAAGAAGATGATGGAACCCATGGCGAACATCAAACTTACTAAAAAATCGAGCACTCCCAATCGCATCCAACAACTCATCAATCCAGGGGAGGGGGTACACATCTTTGATCATGATATCATTCAGTTTTCGATAATCAATACAAATGCGAATCCCTCTGGCCTTTTTGGGTACGATTACTACGGGAAAAAACCATGGACCTATAGCGGGTTCAATCCATCCATTAGCTTCAAATTCTTTAATTCGTTGAAAAGCGGCCGCTCTCTAAGCTGGCGAGTATCGGTAAGGAGCGCAGCTAATGGGCGGATGTTCTCCCGTGAGGATGGCATTCTCGATCACGTTGGTCAAGTCGATATCATTATCATGCACGCTCAGCACCTTTGCATAACTGTTCAAAACATTGATTAATGACTTTCGTAGTTGCCTGGGGACGTGGCTCGGTAGGGTGATCGTTGATTCCCCAGGAGTCTTAAGGGGTATGTAGATCCAATCAACTGTTCGCTTTCATCGATCGTAGACACTTGAAAAGACGGAACTACTGGTGCGAACAGAGAAGACAGTCGCAATCATCTGTGATTCGGCGGGGCCGATCATTTCGGTTTCTTTAGCTTCGGCGTCAGTTTCTGAGTCGGCCAAAATCTGCTCCACAGTCAGTCCTGTTAGGTCCGTCATCTTCTGCATTAGATCAGGCACGTCATCTACCGGCGCTTCTGCTTTCTGCTTAATCAAAGCGATGGTCGCCCCCGTCGTTAGTAATGATCTGGGCGGGGAAACAGAAACGTTTAGATACTGTTCTGTTTGTTGATAACGTGTTCGTAAGGAAAGTGCTCCCTCGTTTAAGGTACGAGGGGGTTCCAAATCATCAGCCAGGTCAGACACTTGTAATATGGGTTCCCCGAGGAGGACTGAAGGACTGACCTTGGTTTTCGGAGGCGCAAGCGTGCTGTCTCCTGAATCCACGTGGAAGCTTCGGGCAGTGTCGGGGCACACTCGAAATTCTTCGGGAATTTCGTGTTCGAAAAGTTTGACCAGGTGCTTCCATTCATCCTCACTGGGAAGTTCTGCTTTGTATTCCCGTTCCCCGATTCCGCTGCCGATGTTCGAGGAAGAATATTCCTCGGTATCAATGCATCGAATCATCCCTATTCGGGTTGAGTTAGGAGTTCGTTTTATCATTCGGGTGGAAATTCGCAAGGGAACAGTTTGAGGCTTTCCCCTTGTTTGCGTGAGCACCAGTTGTTTTGAATCGAAATGCAGACGAGCCCCTACCGCCATTGCCCAAGGTAATCCTAACAACACAGAATAGAAACGCACATCTATTACTAGTGCGTTAACAAGGACGTGTACCCGTCTAACCTTTACAGCCACATTCTCAATATTAGAGTCAATAATACCCACGATGTTCATTGCTTCCTCGTCGGCAGAGACATAATTGTCTTTGCCAGATTGAGGAAGAATGGATCCAAGTCGTCCCGTCTTTCTGACTGTGTCTAGTGATATGGCCACTGCAGAAGACCCTGTGTCGATAAGGGCGTTAAACGGCTTGCCCCAAACTTCACAATCACATTCCACGCTCTTCCACAGTACCGACCGAGCTCGTACGAAGTGATCCTTCTCTGCTAAGGAGATCGTTGCTATTCGTGCGGCTTCAGGTTCGCCGGCTTCGGGTTCGGGCGGTGCAACTTCCTCGCCTCCTTCCTTCTTTTTCAACATTCGCTGTATGCGCTGGTACGTGAAGCGCTTTTGATTTTTCTGACATTGTTGTAACAGTTTGTCGTTTGCAGCTTCAGATATGGTGAGCAAGTGTCCCACCAGGATCGGAACGCGGATATCTAGCTGCTTGAGCGCTCGTAACACATCGATTTCGCCCGTCCTAAACTGAGGACCGAGATTAGAATCGCGATCGACCCACTCGAGATCATCAGGTGCCGATCGGATCGCTCCGATCATGCCTGCGAGATGAAGATACTCAAGTGGATCGACCACGTCCGCAGCGTCAGAGGAAGAAGCTCCCGATGTCGACGTCGTTGCCATCGAGGGGGGAGGTTGTTCTGGGGCATACGCCATGAGCTCTCCTTCTTGGGCCGTGTCCATCAATGCGGCCATTCGTCCTTGGTTTAGAGCAACAGGGGCCGCAGCCGGTGGGGGCTGATTGCGCTTTGGCTGCGGATAGTCTCGGACGAAATGTCCGGGCTGTTTGCAGTTAAAACACTCGATCTTTCCTGCTGGATTAGCAGGGTAAGGGAACTGAGGTGCGTATCCTGGTGCAAGCAGGGCAGGCAAGAGTGGAAATGACGCGGGGGCAAGCCGAGCAGGGGCCGGGTTAGGCTTAATCAGCTTGCTCATTATCTGTTCCATCCGCTCCATGTGAGCGGCCTGCATTTGGATCAAGTTGCTCATCCATTCGGACTGCTTCGTAGTGGCCGTATGGATCATTTGGGCAAGATGTAAGTTGGTTACGAGCGGCGAGGGGGGTTCGTGGGAGATTCCACTCCTAACTGCCGCTATCGGTTGATTCGTTCGGGGAGAGGAAGAGGAAACAGGCGGGATATCGGAAGCGATCCTGTCGGGAAGGTCATGGTCGAGGCGGGGATAAAACCGTTCTACCACCCGCAACCACGATCGCCTTTTAGCCGCTACATCCTGTATGGTATCTGTAATATCTTCATCTTCCTGACTGATATATTTTTTGTATCAGCCCGGTCCAGTTCCAACGCTTTAGCGATGATAGCAGATAGCTGGTGTGTCTTCGGCGGGATCTTTTTCTGTAACTTGCCTTTCAACGTCGGACTTTGTAGATGATCAATGAACAAATCTCAAGCGGATTTCTCGTCTCGCCCAGATTTGTCCAACGTGGTTTAAAATCTTTCCACCAAATCGGGCAGCAATTCCACTGGTCCTTGTGGCCGAGTTTTGAGCACGTACCAGGCAGCATCTTCACTGACCGTATCGAATCGAGCCAAGAATGCTTGTTTGAAAGTATTCCAATCTACCCATGTATGCTTTCTAAACCAGTCATGCGACGTATTACGAAGTAGCAAGGTAAGAACGTGGGGAAGATCACCCGCGCTGTAACCTTGAGCTTGAACGGCTTCCAGCCAAGCTTCGGGTTAGGTATGGTTAGGGAAGAAGGGGAAAGGGGCAGGAATGCAAACGATCACCCTATTACCGTCTACCATTGGTATAGCCGGTATAGCCGCACCAGCTATAGATCTGGTCACTGGATGATCTCGGCGAGCGGGGTGGGGGACTTCTTCTACCTCTCGCCAGTTCGACTTACTATCATCAGAACCGACACGTGTCGACTCCGATACCAACCTCACGCCCTGTGCTGTCTTTCGTTCGGAGTGCTAGATGTACGGAAAGAGGCCCAGAAAAACAGCAAGATGGGGAGTGCCAAGGATTTTTGGAGATTGAGTGTGGGGACACAGACGGAACTGAAATCCCCCGTGTTGGTCCGACGAAGTAAGTCGATTGTTTTTCGCGTGGCGTTAATTGCGCGGGCGGAAGTTTGGCGCTAGAGGAGTGAGAAATACAAATTCAATCCAGGAAATATTGTCGGACTTTCCACCTGGCTACGGCTCGTCGTTTGGAACAAAAGGGCTTCGGCACGCTTCGCGTGTCTCGCTTTCGTATCAAGTCTCGTCGTCGTTCACTGACCAGTTCTGAATCCGACGCGGAGGGTCTTAATCGCGTGGCTCTTTCTCTATGTTCGTCCTCACTCCGCACACGGTAGTGGAAACCCCTGGATTTGTAGCGCTCAAAGCGCTGGCATTCGGTGCATAGGGTGCGCGACCAATGGGGTTCTACTGCCGTCCACGGGATGACGATCAACTGGTTAAATGGCAACAATATTAAGTAAGGTGGAAAGTGCGTATCGATAATGACAAACCCAGCCTCTACGAACCCTGAACAACGGTTGGCCGGAGGGAAGTAGTATCGTCCGCCGATTTGTGCGACAGCTTCTCGTACGTCACACTCGCATACATGTGTCCTTTCCTCGTTGTAAGGAAAAGGCCGTGTTGAGGCGGGAGATACGGGAGGTTGGCGCCCAATCGAAGGGTGCATGTCAATCCACATATCAATCAATTGCAAAAATCCTGAGTCGTCATCAGGAAAAGAAAACACTCGCGCAACCACCAATCACTTCTTTTTCAACACGAGAGAGAGAGAGAAAAAAAAAGAAAACATTCATCAACTGGATCATCCATGTAACTGAAGGACCGTCCCGCGACTCAGATTTAGTAAGCCAACGCGATGGTGATCAAAGAAGCCTTGTTTCTCGAGGCCGCCCTGTGGCTCGGTTGCTGATGTCGTGCAGCGTAAGGCAGATGACATGCGCAGGGCTTTCAGTACTATAGATCTAAACACTCTTGTGTTCTCGAGCAAAAACCCTGCTGAGGGCTGCGTCTAATCAACACAAAAAGACGCGCATCTTCATATATACATTTACTGTGGAAGGTGCGAAAACGACAGGGGTATACAAGTCATAAATCAACCGGGGGAATTGTACACACGCATCCACCGTTCACAAGATAAGAGGATCAATTCCTCGACATCTGGGGATTACCCAGGAAACTAATGGAAGAGTTCCGGAAGAAGTTCTTCACACAGGAAAGCACACAGATGCATTTCCATCCAAGAGAGAGAGAGACTCAAATATCGAGACACATCATCATTCGAAGATAGAGGAGATGGAAGGAGACGAGGGAGAGATGTCGAGATAGAAGATGACGAGATCCGAAAAGAGGAAGTTCGGCGTTGCCGCCGTGCACTCACGCAAGGGATAAAGATCTGCAACAACAAAGGCGCATTCACCGTTAATTCCAATATGGCTCCGGGCCAATCACTCACTCAACTCCAATCAATCGGTCCTCATGCCCGCACCAACAATCCCGGCCGTCGCGTGCTAACTCCCACCACTGCGATCGTCACCCCGCCGACGTAAACTCGACGCGGTTCGCCCAGATCCCACAGTCCGTCGTGGCGATCAAGCGCACAACAAGCCAGCCTATCGTCAGCCCGGCAGGACTTTCCGACTCGCACCAAACACTTTGCCTAGCCACTGCTTCCCGGAAGCTGGCTCAGGGGTCGAGAACGTAAGAGAGATTTGCGGGCGCACTTGCGGAATTTATAGCAGCGAGGAGGGAGACAAGGGAGGGAGAATGCAGGGGGAACGTCGAAGTGTAAGAGGAGAAGCAGGAGGAGAAGACTTTGAGAAGAGCGCTTCGTGGAAGCCATGTTGATCCTTCGGAACTCAATATTCAACCAATCAGATTCGGCGCGCAATAGGAAGATCCTATTGATCCACGTACCTGATTGGCGAGTGGGAGTTATCGAAGGATCGACCGGGTGTCATGAGCTGAATTCAGAGGGTGGGAAGGAAAAAAGGCGCGAGAAGTAGCGCAAGACGGGTCCAAGATTCAAACGATCAAGAAAGGGAAATGGGTGCGCAAAGAGTAGAGCGGGAGAGAGAGAGAGAGGGAGAAAAACAGTTATGAGGAGAGTGAAAGAGGAGGGGGAAGAAAAAAGGAGCGCGGGAGAGAGCGACACGGGGGACAGAGAGGAGAAAGCTTTGCATGCGCGACGCCGTCAACAAAAAAAGAGAAAAGGGCACCAAAACAGTTACAGCTTGCCTACATCCTAAACCAATTCAAAATTGAAATCACCATATCCGCGCGCAAAAAAGTGAAGCTGGAAAAGAAAGTCCTACGCCTATTCGTATCCCCACTAAATTCCGAGAGTTTTCCCCAACGCGACCGAGAACCATTCACACATGAAAAGGACACATGAAAGTTCTGCTTATCCTGGAATTCCCAACTATCGGGCCCAATTCCCAGTGCGCTCGCTAAGGAGCACGTAAATTCCTATGTATTTCCTGAATTGCAAAAAGAAAAAGCAGGACCCAGGAATCGTAAAGGCTTCCAAAAGATGGGGGCCCACAACGCGGCACCCAAAATCAAGAAAACGAAACGGGGTTTTTATGGGGTTGCTATGGTACAAAAAGGAGGGGTACGAAAGATAGCACGGGTTCGGGAAGTAGTTCGTCACATACCGAGTGAAAGAACCCCCCAGCCATCTTCTTCTCAGACAGTTCACATGACAGTGATGACATACTTCCATCTCCTTTTTTTTTCTTTTTTTTTTGCATTTTCTTGAATTCTTCTTGCTGGGGAAAATTGGTGGTGGGAAGCGCCCATGCAAAAAAGCCTTTTCGGTTTTTCACACCCAAACTTTTTCAGTTTGGGAAGAATGGCTTACCGGAAAATAAGTCTGGAGCAAATACAGGTTCATAATAACGTAGGAAGAGGCCCAAGAGGGTAAGCAGTTGGGATCCAATCAGACTGCACGTATTGCCTGTGGGCCTACGTGGCACCCTGGGCCGCAGATCCTGCGGCCCAGTCCGAGCCGCGCGGCCGAGTTCCCGCGCGGCCGCACCATGACCCGGTGGGGGCGCGTGCGGGAAATCGGCGTGCGGACTCGGCCTGCGCACATCCTCCTCTAGAGGACTGCGCATTCAAAAATATATATATATTTTTTGGGGGGGGGGGCGAGGGGTGATTTTTTATCAGTGAGAAAATTAATTAAAAAAATAGAAAAACAAATATTCGTTAGTTGTAAATGATTGATTGATGATTGATTGATTGATTGATTGATTGATTGATTGATTGATTGATGATTGATTGATTGATTGATTGCTTAATTGATTGATTAAATGATTGATTGATTGATTGATTGATTAATTGGTGGATTGATTTTTTTTTTTTGATTGATTGATTGATTGATTGATTG